AGATCCTTGTGTGGTGTATTAAACTTCTTAACCGTACTCTCAAGTTTTGCAACTTTTTCTTTTAAAGCTTTGCAAGATTCACATTCACTTGAAGAGCTTTCCGATTTGTCAGCACTTCTTTTACCATAAAATTTATTTTCTTGTTTCAACTTTTCATTATCTTTTTCCAGTTTTTCAAAATCATTTTCAAGAGTTGAAAGACGTTTCTTTAATGATTTGTTGGTTTTAGAAGCGCTAACAAATTCATCATAAAGCTCTCGAAGAGCTTCTTGCATCTCTTCAAAAGTGTAAGAGTCGGAAGAAGGGGTACATACCTCTTGTACTTCGTTGACGTGGTCTTCGTGTGCCATGAGATGTAGGCGCGTTGCTTTTTGAAGCCAGGTTTGTCCTTGCCGCTTTTGCCTTTTGGACACCTCGGCTTGATGTGGCCTATCTCACCACAGCCATAGCACTTCAGGGGACCGTCGTGCTTTCTTCCTTTGCGCTCAAATTCCTTCTTCATAAATTTGTGGAATTTCTTGATGACGAGTCCGAACTCGTTGTCATCATCGCTTGAGTCTTCTTCCACGGTCTCCTTGGTTGCTTTCAGTGCTATTCCCTACTTCTTCATCCAAAGACGGAAATAGAATAGTAGATTCATAAGTTTTGAGGTTACCTCTTAGCCCGTCGATGGTGACATTGGAGACTCCGATGGATTCGTAGATTGCGTTAGCCTTTGATCTCCATTCGGGTGTGAGACTCCGCAGGATTTTCCTCACAAGGTCCTTGTTGGCATACGTCTTCTTGAGAGCGTGGGAAGGTCGTTGATGATCTTTGAGAACCGATCGAACATGTCATCGATCTTTTCGCCTTCCTTCATCCTGAACATCTCGTACTCCTGCGTTAGGAAGTCAATTTTGGCTTCCCGAACTTGGTCCGTACCTTCATATGTGACTTCCAGCTTGTCCCACATTTCTTTAGCAGTGGTGCAGCAAGAGATCTTGCGATAATCATCAGGATTGACGGCACAGTACAGCATGTTGATTGCCTTGGCGTAGTTCTCCACCTTTTTGATGTCCTCGGCATCAAGTTCGTCCTCGGTTTTTGGGACCGTGGTTTCTCCTACTTTCTTCATTGGGATTTGCTCTCCATTTTTGATGACCAACCATAATTGGAAGTTGGTGGAACGGATATAGATTCTCATCCGTTCCTTCCAATAGGAATAGTTGGTGCCATCAAATAGTGGTGGCCTAGACGTAGACTGACCTTCTCCAATTCCTACATAGAGATTTCTAGAAGAAGAACCCATGATCGCTTTACTCTCAAACGGTTAAGTTTGAACGCGAGTTAGGCTCCGATACCAATTGTTAGAATAATAGACCAACGCTAGAGGGGGGGTGAATAGCGCTTGATCGTAGAAATCGCAGGAATTAAAAAAATTCAAAAGAGATGTAAAGAGAAGAGTAAGAGGCACACCAAATTTACCCTGGTTCACCACAACTTGTGGCTAATCCAGCCTCCCGAGAGACTCTCTCGAGCTACACTACTATCTCGTTAAGCTTAACGGTGCTTAACAAACCCTTACAACTTGAGAGTTCGAGTCACACGAACCTCAACGAATCCTTCAAAGGAAACAGCCCTTCCTTTGAATCAACCGAGAGAGATACTTTCTCTCAACGTGTCTAGCAACACAAATACACTCAAGAACGAGACTCTCTTATAGAGTAGATGATGAGTAAACTAAGTACGCTCAAGAACAACTCAACCTTCACACAAAATGGCTCTAAAAAGCTATGGAAAAGAGTGTTGTTTGAATGCAATGAAAGTATGAATATTGTGAAGTGAATTGGTGAGAAAAGCAGTCCCAAACACCCCTTTTTATAGTGCCAAAATAGGCTCCAACGGACCAATGCATTAAAGGTGTGATTAGCTTGATTTATGGGATTGAAAAGATTTGGGATCTGCAGAATATTGGCTTCCCAGCAATGTAGGGACCTTACCCATCGCTGGTAGGTCAATTTTCCTTCAGTTTTGAAGCCGACAAGTAAAAGTGGTCTTTTCTTGGTCGGCGGGGTCAACGAGTATTTGAAAATACCCACTCATCCCGTCGAGAAAACAATAATACCCATGCCCAGCTAAGTTCTCCACTAACTGGTCTAAAAAGGGAAGAGGGAAATGATCTTTTCGGGTGGCATCATTTAACTTTTGATAGTCAACCACCATACGCCACCCGGTCACCACCCTGTTAGGGATTAGGTCTCCATTATCATTAGCAGTGACAGTCATCCCTCCCTTTTTAGGTACCACATGAATCGGACTTACCCAGTTACTATCAGAGATGGCATAAATAATACCTGCATCTAAAAGCTTCATGATCTCTTTCTTTACGACCTTCCTAAGATTGGGATTCAACATTCGTGGTTGTTGCGCCATCGGTCTCTTCCCTTCTTCAATAAAAATCTTATGGGTGCAGAAGGTTGGACTAGTTCCCTTAAGGTCCTCAAGCCTTCGAGCGATAACATGCCCATAAAGCTTCAGAATATCTATTAACTTACCCTTCTGCTCCTCGGTTAGGTCGGATGCAATAATGACTGGGCACTTCTCTTCTTCATCTAAGAATGCATACTCCAAGTGGGAGGGTAAGGGTTTTAGTTCAGGAGTAGGCTCAGGTTCACTTTCTTCTTCTTCTTCATCTTCCTCAGCCTGAACACCCAAAACTTGCTCTGCATTCTCTTCTTCATGTAAAACCTTATCACACAACTCCATCAACTCAACATATTTCTCTTCTGCTGAATTGGCCATGCTTATAATACCTTCGTCACGTGGGCCATCTTCAACAGAAGAGGTGCCAAACCAGAAGTCATCTAAAGCATCAATAGCATTTACAAGATTGCAAGAAACATGTTCTTGGTTTGCTATCTCTGAGAGTCGAAAAGTGCAAACATCATCTCCAACTCTCAGAGTTAGCGAACCATCTCTCACATCAATTAAAGCCTTACCGGTAGCTAAGAAAGGTAGTCCTAAGATAAGTGGAGTTCCCTTATCCTCCATGTCCAAAACGACAAAATCAACAGGAAAAATAAATTTACCTACCTGTACTAATACATCCTCTACAATACCTAAAGGATAAGTAACAGAAATATCAGCAAGTTGAATACACATCCTAGTAGGCAAGAGTTCTTTTATTACTAGCTTTTGAGCAACATAAGATGGCACAAGATTAATGCTCGCTCCTAAATCGGCTAAGGCATTATTAAAAGCAACATTATCTATGGAACAAGGAATGGTAAAACTGCCTGGGTCTTTTTGTTTCTTTGGCAAATTCTTTGTGAGAACTGCCGAACATTCAGCACTCAGATTGGCAACTACAGGATCAAATCGAGGCTTTTTATTTGCTAACAACTCCTTAAGGAATTTGGCATACTTAGGCATTTCTGCCAAACCATCCATTAGAGGTAAATTAATGTGAAATTGTTTTAGCATATCTAAAAACTTAGTATAAGTTAGGTGTTCATCTACCATTTTTAACCTAGTGGGAAAAGGAAGTTTAGTTTTAGGGATAGGTAAATCACCTAAATTATCAGGTTCAGCCTCATCCTTTTTATTACCATCCTCCCCAATATCTTTATTAATATCTACATTAAGTGGAGTGGGTGTTGGTGGTGTAGGATTGACTAAAACTTTCTCACCTTCAACTAACTTCCTTCCACTTCTTAAAGTTACAGCTTGAACATGCTCACGTGGATTTGATTAGGTTGTACTAGGTAAATTTCCTGGTGAGCGGTGGGTGAGAGTGTTACCTAACTGACTCATGTACTGCTTAACATCATGTAACTCTCTTTGAAATTCAGATCTCAATTCAGTTTTAATGCTAGGCAGTTCAGATTTTAAGTCAGATATAGTTTTAGTCAAATCCCCTAACATTTTTTCTAAGGAAGAATTATTCTCATTTGATCTAGCATGTAGTGGAACATAAGTCTGAGAATTACTTCCTTGATTTCTCCAATTACCTCCATTATTATTCCTATTATTATTTGGGCCATCATTTCTCCAATTATTACCAAAGTTTCTTTGATTATTAAAATTATTATTTCGATTACTTTGGTATTGATTATTCTGATTAGCCCATGGTCCTTCATTCTTGCGAGCATATTCCATAAGATTAACATCATGAGAATTAAATTCATCATAAGGACAAGCAGATGTTAAGTGAGAACCCATGCAATTTTCACAAGAAAGGACTGAAAGGTAACCATGCAAGGATAGGCAGCGGAATACAAAAATTTTAACATCCTAACATGATTATCTTGCCCAGAATCACGTACTAAAACTTAAAGTAGTAAGAAAATTGTACCTTTCTCCGTAAGCGGTAAAACGAAGAAGTTGTAGGAAGAGCGTTGAAAGTGCAAACGTAACCGTTCAAGCGTCCGGTCTCCAACTTTGACACACGAACAACGCCGGAGTCTACCACAATCTTTATGCTAGTAAAGATTATAGTAGTATAAAATATAAAGATTAAAATTTGGGATAATAATAATCTTGTATATTTCTTATAGAAAATATTTCTAATAATATTTAGAAAAATGACATTAGCTAAATGAAAAAAATTAATTAGTCCACCTGTGGTCGCGCTAAAGATGCTTAGAGCATGAACTAAAAGTTCAAGCAACATCTTTAGGATGGGTCAGTCCGGCATCCTATTATCTCTAGATAATATCTGCCCATGTGCGGATGCGAACACACCGTCATTGACTATGAGACTAATTCAAACATCCAACACACACTAGTCTCACATGCATTAACGATATCCCACTCTCGTTAATACTCGACTATGGACATTTAGATAAATATTTATTTCAAGATGTTAGTCTCATCAGCAGAAAAACACTATCTGATAAACATCTTTTAAATATAAATCTAGGAGTATAATATTTGTTTACATTAGCATGAGATGTGTAAACATATTATATCTGCCTATACATGATAGAATAACGATAAACAGTTGGCCATCAGGGCACAACTCCAACAATCTCCCACTTGCACTATGGCCAATCTGGCATTGGTCTAATGCCCATGGACCTAGTGTGACCCTCATGCTTTAGCTTTCCTAAAGGCTTGGTCAGGGGATCGGCTATGTTGTCGTCAGTATCTACTTTGCAAATCATCACATCTCCTCTATCTACAATTTCTCATATGATGTGATAGCGTCGTACAATGTGTTTGGTTTTCTGGTGAGATCGCGGTTCCTTTGCCTGTGCAATGGCCCCAGTGTTGTCGCAAAACAACGAGATAGGGTCATTAATACTAGGAACCACTCCAAGTTCAGTAATGAACTTCTTGATCCAAACAGCTTCTTTTGTTGCCTCGGCGGAAGCTATGTACTCAGCCTCTGTAGTCGAATCGGCGGTTGTATCCTCTTTAAAGCTCTTCTAACTAAAAGCTCCACCATTCAGGCAAAACAAATATCCTGCTTGTGATTTTGAATCGTCTCTGTCGGTTTGGAAGCTAGCATCAGTGTAACCGACCACCTTTAGCTCTTCCTCACCACCGTATACCAGGAATGCATCCTTAGTATTGCGAAGATACTTGAGGATGTTCTTGACCGCTGTCCAGTGTGCTTCTCCTGGACTTCCCTGGTATCTGCTGGTCACGCTTAAAGCGAATGAGACATCAGGTCTAGTACATATCATGGCGTACATGATGGATCCAATCGCAGAGGCGTATGGAACCTTCATCATGAGTTCCTTTTGCTCGGGAGTAGAAGGACTCTGGCTCTTGGAAAGAACCGTGCCAGGTGTCATAGGTAAAGATCCTTTCTTTGAGTTAGACATGCTAAATCGATCAAGGATTTTATCTATATATGTACTTTGATTTAGACCTATTAACTTTCTTGATCTATCTCGGTAGATTCTTATGCCAAGGACATAACTAGCATCCCCTAAGTCTTTCATGGAGAAGTTCTCGCTCAACCACGTCTTTACAGAAGTGAGAGCGGGAACATCATTACCCATTAACAATATGTCATCGACATACAAGTTTAGGAATACTATTACACTCCCACTTTCCTTCTTGTATACACAAGATTCGTCAGAGTTCTTCTTGAAACCAAAACTGGAAATGGTTTCGTCGAAACGTATGTACCAACTCCGAGATGCTTGTTTTAATCCGTAGATTGAACGTTGCAGCTTACAAACTTTGGCAGACTGACCAACAATTTGAAAACCGTCAGGCTGTGTCATGAAGACATCCTCTTTGAGGTTCCCATTAAGGAAAGCCGTTTTGACGTCCATCTGCCAAATTTCATAATCGTAATAGGCTGCAATCACAAGCATTATCCGAATGGATTTCAGCATCACAACTGGAGACAAAGGTTTTATCATAGTCAATTCCGTGGATTTGTCTATAACCTTTTGCTACCAATCTAGCGTTGAAGGTATGAACCTTTCCGTCTACGTCTGTCTTCTTTTTGAAGACCCACTTGCATCCAATGGGTTTACCCCTTCGGGCGCATAAACCAAGGTCCAGACTTGGTTTGTGTATATAGACTCCATTTCAGATTTCATGGCTTCGAGCCATAGATCGGATTCGGGGCATGTAATTGCCTCGAGGTAGGTCTCTGGTTCGCCTTGATCTACCAACAAGACGTCACCTTCATCAGACATGAGAAATCCATATCTGACCGGAGGATTACGTATCCGGTCTGACCTACGTGGTATATCTTGAGCAATTTGAGATTCAATTGCTTGATCTCTTTGCTCAGGTTCCAACACTATCGGGACTTCTTCTTGTGGTTCTCGAATTTCTTTGAGGTCTACCTTTCTCCCACTAGTGATAGCAGAAAGAAACTCCTTCTCAAGGAAGGTTCCATTCCGAGCAACAAAGATTTTGTTATCGGATGGATGATAGAACTCATACCCTCTAGTTTCCTTGGGGTATCCCACAAATATTACTTTATCAGATTTAGGCTCCAACTTACTAGACGTCATGAGACGTTTTACATAAGCTTCACAGTCCCAAATCTTAAAGTACGAGAAACTCGGTTTTCTCCCACGCCATAGTTCATATGGTGTGCTCTCGACAGCTTTAGATGGAACTCTGTTGAGTGTGTGCGCTGCTGTTTTCAATGCATATTCCCAAAATTATTCTGGCAATGTTGTCAGACTAATCATGCTCCGAACCATGTCTAGCAAAGTCCGATTTCTCCTCTCAGACACTCCATTTAACTGAGGTGTCCCTGGAGGAGTGAGTTGGGATAAAATCTCATGCTCTTTCAGATAGTCATCGAACACCAGGCTTAAGTATTCACCTCCTCGATCCGAGCGGAGGGTCTTAATACTTTTGCCTAATTGTTTTTCTACTTCGTTCTTGAATTCTTTGAATTTGTCAAAGCATTCCAATTTGTGTTTCATGAGATACACATATCCATATCTACTAAGGTCGTCAGTAAATGTAACGAAGTAAGAATAACCACCTCTAGCTACAGTGCTAATTGGACCACACACATCGGAGTGTATGAGGCCCAATAAGTCACTCGCCCTTTCACCGTGACCAGTGAATGGAGCCTTTGTCATTTTACCAAGTAAACAAGATTTACATACATCATATGACTGGAAGTCAAATGAATCAAGTACACC